TTTTTTTTTTATACACTAATATGTTATGATAACCTATTTTCTATTGTGACATGAATATACGTTTATTTTAGTTTGTTTAATATTTCATTTGACATGAATCTAAATTGCTTAATACTACAGCATGTTAATAAAATAAAATAATGTAACTGAACATTTAATAATAAAGCTTATATACTAAACTTTGTTAACACTTTTTTTAATTAAGAAATGTAAACATACTTTTGAATATTATATGTTTTATTCGGTAACTGAAAACTAACAATTAACAAGACTGGGCAATTTAATGAAATTTTATTTCATTCGAAATATTTATTTTTATAGTTTTCTAAATTCCATAAACTTATTATCGAATATGGTATTTTACAAAAATATTCTTATGGTCTTGAATATCAAAATTAACTTAATTGGGATAAATTAAAAAATAATACGTTAAATTCAAGATAATCTATAGGGAAATGAGTTAAGTTAATAAGTTAAATTAACTTAACTTTTAATTTATTAACTCGTTAATTCTCAGGATTGGAATTAATTAATTCTAAAGCTTACGTTTATGCCATTGGGATACCAGAATCCATATACTATAAAAATGTATAGAGCTAGGCCGGTATTGCGCAGGTGGTAACTACAACGCTTGATAAAACATAGAAAACGAATAGCTCATAAATTGCCTAAAAGTAATTATTATGTTAATTAAAATACATTATAATGTTAATTAAAATACATCGATGCACCAAACGCATAATGATAAAACTGTATAAATAAATTTCGTTTAGTAGAAATAGTTCCGTCGTGCAACATTAACTAAATATGACTAACGAATCGAATAACACAAACCCATTGTTTTCTATTACGGTAGGAAAAAAGAGGGAAAGCATCCCTCTCTAACTAAATTAATTTTGGCAATTATAAAATCAATCACCTGCATTAAATTTTATCAATATTATCATCGACCTTTTTCAACATTACTCTTTGTTTTCTCTCTGAATTGTTCGTCAGCGATCTCTAGTGGCTTTCAGAAACGAGTACGATTTATTCTTTGTGATCTCAATCCAACGACTATAACATGTTTTCAATGTACGACCCGATCCGATACTTCATTCGAAGTAACGTTGCAAAGTACTTTTTTTAAAAAAAAATAATCACTTTTCAAAAAAAATGTTAGATTAATTCCATCTCGGAGTAGTATTACTGGACGCCCTTTTCAATCAAGCCGTAAATTCCTATATATATATATTTTAAAAACAAGGAATGTATTGGTTTTGCTATGATGTGTATTTTTTTTATATATTTGTATACACGACTTCGACCAGAAGGATTGCTTCGACAAATATATTCAAAGGATATTTTTGATAGGAAATTATGTTTAGTTGGTTGGTACATTCAAGGGATTCATTTTACAATTTTTCTTGTAATTTTCTTAACAATAATGACGAAAAGTTATAAATATATAACAACATTTACAATAAAATAATTAAAGAAAAAAAATTTGAGCCTAATTTTCAAAGAGAGGGAGAGGAGAGAGACTCCACGGTAAGATAAGATACATGTATGAGTGATTAAATGATTCCTAAATAAATCTTTTTAAACTTGAAACCAATGTACTCTCGAATAAAACGGTTGTAAGTGAGGGATTGGATGGATCAGTTTTATTTCTAAAAATTATTGATATAGCAAAAGAATCAAATTTCTTAGTAAAATATGTTTATTATCTAGTGTTCTAACTTTAACAACAAAAAGGACATCTACAATTCAGGAAAATGAAAGATTTCAAACGCCCATAAACTGCACATTATGTAAGGCTCATTATTCATTCTTACAAATTCCAGTTTTTTAGCAACAAAAAAAATCATATGAAAAATATTGTATCCAATTTTCAAGCCTTATGTATAAGAATTAAAACATTTAAAAAATGTTTAGCAACAAAACATTAGCAGAATTTTTGCATTTAGTAAGTTTTTCAGATTCTAACTGTAATGAAGAAAATATATTGTGTTTATAATTTGTATGTGTGTTTTTTTTTCGAAGTTGTGTATACAATTTCGACCAAAAAAACCATCTAATCATCACAATCATAAGAGATTTCTGATAGAAAATGTGGTATAGTTACATATTTCAAATCAATAATCTTTAATTTTTCAAACGTTTAATAATAATTCGTTTTTGTTTATAGAACTTAAGATTTTAGTTTTTATCAAACGATTTTTATTTATGAAAATATAACTGGTCAGATTATGACAATACTGCTGTTGACTTATACTACTGCCTCTGCAATGAGTTGACAATTAAAAGCTCGTCATACCATGTCATTTCGGAGATATATTTTGTGTTGTTCTTATGCGATTGGACAGATATCCACAGAGACGAAAGAGAAGTCCCGCGTGGTTTGTAGGAAGTTTCTGTTGTGACATATCATCGTATATGTAGTCTACGATGGCGTAAAAGTGCTACCACCGTGAATAATACGACAGTTAATTACACTTCGATAACGAACAAATATACCATAAATATTTTATGGATAAAAATTAAATTGCGAACACACTTCTTTGAAAATAGCATTGAACTTGGTGTGTTAAAATATAAATAAATATCAAATAAACGTCATCCTAAATTAACTCTTAAAAATTAAAACGTCTTTTCTTATTATTATAATTTTAAAAACAGTGATATCCATGTTTCTGTACACGATCCATGCATGCGTGAATGCATAATGAAAGTTATCAAGTTCATCATTTCGATCTAACAACCATTCCAGCGAATAACGCTTGAAACGTTTAACTCGTTCGATTAAGGAGACAATAATGTGTATATAATATTATTTATTATTCCGACAGGTGAAAAACTTAGAAGAAAACTTAGAAGAATAATAGTTTTTGAATATATATATAAACACTTAAAGATTTGTTTTATGCAAATAAGATAATTTGACTAGAGAAACAATTTAAAAAAGCGATGGTCATCGAAATATTTCCTCCGACCGACAATTTTTACGTACTCTACTTTGTTAAGACAAAAATTGATCTGCCCGATTATCAAATTTTGTCCGAATCCATGTCTATTTTCCAAAAGTGGCTTGACATTACATTTTATAGTTCAATGAAGCACCAGGAACGATTTAACTTTTCAATAGACCAACATTTGGAGTCCGGTACGAACGTAATAATTTATGTCCCAGCATAATAACTGTGCAAATAGATACCGAATTTATAAGTAGACGCAATAATTACGTCAAATTCATGGACATCGTAGATGACAACCAAACTATAGGGTTTTTTGAATTCGATTTTTTGGTAAACGAACACGGTATCACGTATTGGTGGAAGATCTGAATCATCAACCTAAAAGCGTTAAACTGCAAGTCTTGCCAACGAAATCCGTCACTTACACGGACCACGGTTACATTCGATTACGATGAATCTCGCCTATATGATACGTTAATGGAGCACGATGGGTACTTTGTTGATGGTGCTCGTGCTCATGACTAATATCATCGAGTAAAGATCGGTATTCGGTTGATAACATTGATTCGCCTCAATAACATAATCGGCTGTACGGATTGCGCAGCCATAAAATGTAAATAATACAATTTCGTATTCATCTACGATGACGTTGTGTTGAAGTATAGAATTTCGCAGATGCGTAAAAACATTGAAAAAAGCATAATAATTATATATATTTTTTTTCACCACAATCATTTTTTTTTCTCATACAAAAATCAACAAAACAATATTATGCATAGTTTTTAAGTATTTTTTATTATTATATAATTTTATTTCAATAGCAATAAACAACAATAATATAACAACAATAATTTCAAACATAACTGATTACAAAAAAAAAAAAAAAAAATTTATGTCAATTTTTTCAAGCGATATTTTAAATTACTAAAATTTAAAATTTGTCTTTTTTAAAAAAAAAATGCACATATATTTTAAGGGGATATCTTTTAACAAAAGCTCGTCATTATGATTCAAGTATGCAATTATTATAATTAATTTTTCAAGAAATAAAACGTCCAATTATTATTAATTTGTTTTTTTCTATTGCGCGCGTTTAGGGTTTATAAGTTTTTAACATTTTTATCCTTAGAAATATTGATTGTCTCAGAAAGCCAATATTATATTTGTTCATGTATTTATATATATTTTTTTTTCGTAATAGTTATTTGTTAATTTTATATTGCTATTGTTTACACGAAATTGCAATATGTAAAACGCTTCGTAACAATAAAAAAAAATATATATTATAATAACAAGCTCCCCATAAGCCCCCCAATTCCCTCATTTTCGAATAAATAGAACCGTGATTTTGTAATTTCAACTATAAACAAATTAATTTATATTTCTATATATAAATTTATATATAATTTTTTTTAATGAACTTCATTTTAAGTTCATACAAAAATTACGTGTAAAAAAACTTTTAGTGCCGTTGTAGTGATTTTTGAAAATATTATGATTTTTAACAAGAATTCATAAACAGCCGCGATTTATGATGGTTATAATAATAATAATAATAATAATAATAATAATAATAATGATAAAAAATCGTACTAATTTAGTATATAATAAAAAAATTAATTAAAATTAAGATAGCTGCTCATGAACGAATTTTTTTTTTCTCAAAAATGATAAATTTCAGACTATTGAAATACAATTATAAATTCGGTAACGCAGTGTATAAAATAATGTTCGAAATCAATAATGTACAATTATTCCACTTAAAAGCTAATCATTTTTTTTTTCGTTTTTGTTTTTTAACCACTTTACATTATATATATTTACATTCATAAAAAAGAAAAACAAATGACAATTTTGTTTTCATGTATAAAGAATTGTCCTAAAGAACAACAGCAGTATAATATATATACTACGATACAATTTTTTTTTTTTGTTTTTTTTTTAGTTTTTATTGGCTTTCCTAAGGTATTTCTTAAATGTTTGTAAAATACAAAGGTGAATATAATTTTTTTAAACTACACTCATGATAAAACTAGAATATTATAAGGTACAACGAGCGTAATACATATTTTTCGACTTTTGGTGTTCTACATACATTATATAGTAAACTATTACGATTACGAAACGAGTTAACAATACAGTAGTTATAATTTAAGGTACATAAATAACTAATACATGACGTGATTTTATATTATACAGAAAGTTACCGATGGGTGTAGCGCTGACACGTGGTCCATTTCTCGTCTAAATCGCAGCGGCGGAGCTCCATACGTTGGCGACAATTTACACGTTAAGAATGGCGATTTGTGTTGTGACAAAACGAAAATGAATAAATGAAATAACGCAAGAGAGAGGGGATAATGATCGAGTGATCAAAACATGGATACCGTGGTGACGTTTTTTCGTTATGATCACGTGAAAACAAAATCAAATATTATTAAAATGACTGCATCTATGGGGTGGTAATAAGTATGCGTTCGGAGACTTGATCGTGTTCATTCGAATTTCCCGGTGACGAGCGTGTGTCATGTTCTCCGCCACGGGAAGTGTCAAATTCAAAATATAACTAAATCAAAACCGATACTTCCCGCGGAGGAATGCGCAATGTTTGCGTCTCCAGCCAATGGACAACGTACCAACGGGTAGCTTGGAGTTTTTACATGCACGATATTTTTCGCGATATAGTCATGAAAAACACCAATACACACTTAAAAATACACACATACATGTGTACGTTAGCACACGTGCATACGGGATCGTTGAATTTTCACGTAAGGCTTAACCTTTAGCTTGTGAGAAAATTAAACGATCCCGTGTTCACCTGTGACAGTGTGCACGTTTGTATGTATTGCCATTTCGGTGGACTTCATCAGTCGATCTGATAAATACTCAAATCGAGTATACGTATGTTAACGGGAGATCTACTGATGTTACGAAAAAGTTTTTCATTCGTTTTCAGTAGTTATTGACGTTGTTAGAAAATAATAACGAAAATAAGGGGAAACTCAAACGACAATGGGAGCTGGAGACACAACAAAATACTGGTGAACACGTGATCATCGTGTGGTGATGGACAAGGAGACAAGGATCGCTAGTTGGTTACGTGTGATTACCGCGCGCGAAAAAGCTCGGCCCCGTGCGATTTAGATGTACGAATACGGACCGTCAGTGAGAGCGCTACAAAGCAATAGTCAGGAGTTGTCGTCTTTGGCACGTCCTCCGTTCCGGCTAGTGGGCTTGTACTCGAGTCCGGGATCAAATTGCATCAACACGAACACCTGCAGAAAAGAGAGAATGTTAAACAGTTGAATTATACAGTATAAATTAAAAAAAAAAAAAATCAAATTGGTGGCTGGGTTAGTGGCCGGCAGAGTTGGGCATTAATCGAATAAAATATTATTCGATTAATTATTTGAATAAAATATTATTCTTCATTGATTTATTCTTAATTTTATTATTGATTTTTATTTTTATTCATCATTTTAATTTGTATTATTATTCGTTATTTGTTATTCCCTATAATCATATAAATAATAAATTTAAATCCAAAATAACGATGTATAGTGATAATATACTTATTATTTAGACTTAAATAATATATATAAAGGTAATACATATTAATATATATAATAATTGACAAAAATAAATTAATTATACTTTTATATTTAATATCATTCATGATTTCAACGAATTAATTTATTCTGAATAATTGTTTTATTAACGAATAAAACTATTCAGAATAATTTTATTCTTTATTCAGTACACCACAATTATTCAGAATAAAAAATTATTCTTTATTCATAAATAAATTAGTTATTCAGGTTTTTATTTTTTATTCATTATTTTGATTTGTTTTTGCCCAACTCTGGTGGCCGGCGTGGACAAAAAAAAAGGTTCGCGCAAGGCTTAAAGCGGGGAGACGCGAGGAAACTCAATCCCCTATCCTATCACAGTTTTTATAAAGCGTCACATTTAACATGTTTTTCGAAACATTCTCTGCAACGGTCAATACAATCGACCGTATTAATTTTCAGTTATAAATTAATAGTAAAAAAAAAAAAATCTGTTTTTGTAATAGAATCAACTGTTATTAGGTCTCGTTGACCGTAGCCATTAGTTTCGAAAAACAAAGCTGTACGAACAAGAGTCAACTCGTATTAAATATTACGCTTAACCTATATACAGACACGTAATAGATTGGTAATCATACGGAAAGGTGTAGGTACGTGGCACAACTGAAACGGATTGGAATAATTCATCCCTGCGTTTTTCCATTTTAATCGGAACATAACATTAAGAACAACCGTATCGTATGGTCTTGGCGGTCCATACGTCACACGGCGAATCTCTAGAAACCGGTGTGAGTCGAGCGACGTTGGTCAACGGCCAAATCTCAGGCGCACGTTACGCGCAGTTGGTAGTCGACCCGCGGTGCACCAGAAATAGAATACACGCGTCAACGTTGCCCCGCGGACGAGGCGACATCGCAGCGAAAACAATATCTAAATGGTATGGTATTAAAAAGGTACCTAAATGAAACGATCGAAAGAAACGTATGGCCACGTTTCGAGGCCTGTCGATTGATTGCGGTCTCAACGACAGTGGCAGATCAAGTTTTGGGGTGGGAGAGATTAACCTCCCCCCAAAATCAGGAAAAATATGTAATAAGCCTGACCAGAGGATAAGAATGAGCGTCCTCACGAGATAAAACAAAAAATTGAATAGTTCATCAGTTTTTGTGCACGAGCAACGCGATCCGACTAGAACCGTAAGTCGACGATAACGCTACGTGTACATACAAAGTGACGTGCGCAAGTATTGTTTGCGCTATACAACATGAATCATTATGTATTAAGGTATAGATAATAAACTAAATTGCCAACCAATGCGTAGTTCGCCCGCTATAGCAACGAAGTCTGTCTAGTCATTTTCCACCGTCTTTGTGGGAGTTGGACATTATCATTTACTCTTGTGTACATGTTATCTTCTAGATCAGATTTCCACATAATTATGTGAAACAATCGTTTCAACATAGACTGAGTACGTAATAATGCAGTCTACAGGTTTACAAAATATTCGTCGTGAAGAGTACAATCTACCACTGTGTGTGTGATATATCGCATAATCCCTGCATAAATGACGGATAGTAGTAGCTTCACTTAGTATCGCGAATTTCAAGAGCAATCCAGTTTATTATCTATACCCGAGTGGATGTTATCTACACCCTTTCTGTACGCAAATCGATCAATTTACAGTTTACCTGATCCGTGGGCATGAGCGAGAAATCATCCGGTGGATTGGTGATCACGTATCGTTTCGAGGATGCGTCGCAAGATGAGCTCCTGTCTCTGAATCTGTAACAACACCGAAGCGACAGGATGAGAATAGCGACGTCCCGTCGCGATATTATAAAACATAAGTCAGGGACAGAACACATACACGCACATAGCAATATAATTATATACATCGACATCACAAACACACACATACACACACAGAAATGCAAACGAGGGCGGGGAAGACCAGATGGATTAAGAGGGACCCGGTCTGAACCGTTTTATAGACCTCGGACAAATGGAAATAATTGGTTTAACCACAAGTACAGTGATAACCATCAGAGGTGAATCGCACGGCGCTGGAAAAACGTTGTTCCGATTTAGATAGATTTCCGGCTCGTGCATCACGGTAATAACGTACGGAGTAAAACTACTGCGTAAGTAATCAAAAAAATAAATATATAAATAAAAAAATGAATCTAATTTTAATTTATCACAAGATAGCGCGTCAAAAGTCTACCTAGGACGGTTTTAACTGTACATGGTTAAGATTTTGTTTTTTTCGTGCAGAGTATATCCGCATTATATGATCATATCGTGAATGGAAAACTGTATCAATTGACATGAACTCGAATGCCAACATTTTTTGACAGTAAAAGAAAAGGTATCGTTCGAATCTTTACTATAGGTATAGAATTTCCGAGTATGCGTGTTCAGACCATATATCAACTCGACCCCGACGAACAAATAGTTTATTTCCTCGAAACTTTCATGCAAAAACAATGAAACGTATGTGCAATCAATAGCGTTATTGCTTTTTTTTGTACACACGCACGGCGTAATGAAACAACAAGAATTGAGAGCGAAACTCGTATTTTTTCTCTGTCGAAACAACCCTACCGCCTTATGCCCGAGTATATAATATTTATATATATATATATATAATATAATTAGTGGTACTTCGCTGTTATTAAGTACACGTTATCAAATATCAAGGTACCTATTCCAAATACGACCAATGACGTGCGAAAACCATTTGGACACTTTTTATTGTTCGAAATCTCTTAACGCCCCAATTAAAGAGTGTCGCATCTTATCACGTTCTAGATAACAAAAACTAAATCTCTAAAGTTTTGCCGACTGATACCGACCTTCATCTCGATGTTATTTCTACCATCATATATAGATGGATTGTTAGCTTAACTTTATTTTATTTGTGTGTATAACAAATTACTTTAGACGAAGGTTCATACAGCATAATTCAATGTAAATGAATAAAAAATAAATATGGTTTTAATGAAGTTTTATTGAACATGAAAGTAGCGCAAACACACTGACTAAGTACATAATCTTATTGAGTTTACCCACATCCTGCAAGAATAAGGCGTACGGTGGACCTAGCACATTATACAGTAAAACAAACAAAAACGTGTATGCTAAATTAGGTATAAAGTCATGAATCGCGATAATAGCAAATTAGCTAACAATCGGATCGAACAATACACGTTGTTATATTGTTTGTTACCACTGTCCTGTTTCCGCCGTCGTGAACAGGATTACGATAACGCATTAAAATATACACATGCGTGTGTGCAACACAACAAAAATATGGTATAATATCAAACAAAAACGCCATAGTATATGGTACGTTAATAGTTGTGTCGAGGAAATAAAAGCTAGTAGGCACGAGTGAACAGTGACGTAGCCAAAGAGATTATTTTTTGGGGGACGGCATAAATACCCCACTATATATCTGCTTATAAAAGGATATCGATCAATTAATTATTGCTTAAATTATTGGCGTAAAGGTGAGTATGGCTGAGTAATAATAATAATAATTCAGCTGCGATGAGGTATTTGTTTGAAGAAAAAAAAAAGTAAAAAAAAAAAACAACTCAAAACTGAAGCGATTGATAATGAAGATCGTGCCGTGATTTCTGTATTAGTAATTGCTGGTAAGTGGTATATATACCACTATCAACCTATCCCTTTTTTGGCCTGCTGCGTCACTGCGTACACGTAAAATGTGCGCGCCCACAAAACGTGAACGTCGGAGACGACTCCAGGACCCCTGTTAATCGTTATACGAGAGGTTATACGAGTGCTTAATGCTAATCGCAAACTACAAAACATGTATAGTTAGTTGTTCATACCGGTACCTGTATAGACCAATGCACAGCATCCCATACGACTTCAGGGCGGAAACAAATAGGTCACCGTACTTGCCGGCTTCGCCGAACTGCGCCAGCGGCCCATCGTACAGCGAAATCTGACCGACCCTGCACCGGTCTCTGTTAGCTAGGCTCTCGTCGGTGCTGCAAACACACATTAAGCCGCGGTTACTCACACACACACATTCGACAGGTAGACGAAAATTATTCCGAGCGAAACTCTTAACCGCGGGCAATTCTTGAAATAATTACAAAGAATAGTATTTTGATAACCCAATACGATCCTCGACCGTTCTGACGGACATTAATTTGCATTGGTTAATTTATACTTTCGAGCTACAGACACAAGTTTGTCTTCCTCACACGCGTTTCCTTTTGTTTTGATCATGCAGATTCACGTGAAAAAAATATTTTGGAACGATTTGATATCGACTATTACGATTCCATCAATTACCATAGAAAAAAATTCAAGTTAATTGTTTTAAATATTTTCAACGGACGATGACCAAAAATATTTTGCTTTTCTGTCAACACTTTTTTAACTTATTATTAATATTCTTTATATAATTTTAATGTGTTATTTTTGTGTCTAGTTGAGTACATACTAAACACAATTATTACATAGTCCTTATAATATGGTATATAATTGGTACCTATGTTTTCAGGCCATCCACATCCTAACTCATCATAGCTGTGTAGTATAATCCACGTATTGAAAATAACAATAGAAACGCGTTTACAACATCGTACATGGACGCTATTTTGCCCCGATAAAGTATTATATTTTAGTGTTCAAGACACACAATCGGTTTCGCGTACACTGTATCTGCAACATGGCGCGTGTGTGTGTGTGTGTATAGTACGTGTTTACTTTATTTATTTCGCCAGGAAAATATAAACTGTTCGTGAACACGCGGTATTATCAGCACGTATATATTGTTAAAACTAGTGTAATACTATAACCCTTAAATCCGGGTTTGCGTGTTTGAATAATGCTAATATAACCTTCCGCGCTCACACAATACGGCCTTTTGAGTTGATTTTAACTCGAAAACTACGAGCGAACATAAGTGCGCTTACCACATTATTTCTGTAAGACGGGAAGTTCTGTTAATTCGATTCCGAATCGGAACGTTATAAAGCTTACTTACACGTAAGCGTTTACATAATTTTGTTTTCGAACCATTCGCAATTACGGGGTCTGATTCGAAAAACGAGCTCATGACTTAGCGTACGTCTACAGGTACAATTTATCCTGAGTAAATTATAGCTTACGGGTGTTAGTTCAAAGAAAAATAAACAATAAACCGTACGGTCGAATTCGAAGATCGATTTCGCCGTTGCTATAATTTGTTCACCGTATTTACCTGTAGCCACCACGGAGACCCGCTCCTTCGGCTAAAATAAGCTCGAGCTCGGGTGTTGCTCCACCGGTGATCAGCGATCGGATGAGCGTCAACGCATTTTGATTGAAATACGTCTGAAATACAACAGGGGGGAAAAATTAAACACATTAAATCGCACATCCGAAAATTCGATACGGGTCATTAGGCGTGTTCCATTTGTAACCGTAGCACATCATCGGACGCGAATTTCGAAATACATTTTTGTGCACCGAACATACCGTTGACATGAGCGAGTCCAAGACGCTGACGGCGAAGGCCGTACCGCACGCGAACGGTTGTGTGAGGTACAACTCCGTGTCCGGGTCGTCGTCGTCGTCCTGGTCGAGAAACTGTACGTTGCTGTCGTTGACCAGCTCGGTGATCATCGGAACGTTGGCGCCGTACACCGATCCGCGTCTTTGCAACACTATCGGCCCACCGGCGCAGTTCAGACCGTCCGGATCAAACTGTTTGGTCACCGCGGTCTCGTCTACGCGCGAAAATATAATACTTTTACATCGATTACGTGTACAGCGTATTAGATGATTTATACACGTTTTAATCGTTAACAATAAATTGGGAAATCGCTCGAAAATCAAACGCGCCGAAGGGTGTAACGAACCTGACTTCAACGGAAATCTAAAAACTAGTCTAATTCCTGTCGCGCACTCCACCGGACCAGCAGAAATTGAATGTGTCATCGAATGAAATCGGTTCAGCGTGCAGGACTGCAGGACAAATCCTTTACGGATGCTGCGTCGGGGTACCGTAGTATATGGAACATGAAATCAATTTTAGAATGGTAAGATCTACGGGGATTGTACGATCCAATTGTATTGGATCCAATTGACCTCGTCGGTCGTATTAATATTATTTCTCATAAAATATACGTCGTGGTGTGTGGACATCATAATATGGTGAATTGTAAATCGAATTTGAATGAAACTACCGTTTAACGAACACCCGTTTAACGTAGACCAGCATAAACGCGAATTAAATGAAGGATGTCGTCTGACATTAAAAAATTCTCCGCATTCACAATTATTGATCTTATAGCAGCGTAGAATAAACACACCAAACATTATCAGTTACTTTTGTTTTATGCGCGGATTAAAAGACGTGCGTAATGCAGAGCAACCGATGATGAGACGTGGTAAAATATAAATACATAATAAATCGTAAATCTATCGTAATGAATACGTTTAATTAGTAACATTTTTAATAGTAAGAATTGTTTATACAAGGACATAATGATAACATATAATTATTTTTTATTTCTTTAAATTGTTTTCCGATCGGATTAATGTTTGGTTAACAATCCAATAGGGTTTGTTCGTATAGTATAGTAAAAAAAAAAATTAAAATCGTTTAATTTTATTTAATTAAACTGATTCTGCTAGAATTGTGGAAAATTGCATCTTTCTGAACATCTCTACACGGTTACTAAACGAACGATACAAATAATCCTATATATATGAAATCCATATAGATGAAAAAATTGTGCGCACAGTTTAGTGTCAATTTAAACAAAAATTTTTAAATAAAACAGCGATTAATTTTTATCATATTGACGATTATAATTTGAACAAAATTTACTATACCTACAAAAAATAATATATATTGGGAAAACAGTATTGTTTCACATTGAGTGTCTCATAAAATATACTCAAAGTGTTGGTTGGAAAATATAGAGAGTTGGCATTCGGAGACATTCAAATTAATTGTCTAGACGGAGTACATTTTTTCTGAACAAATATTTGTAATTTTAAAAGGTTTGAATGCGCGTTCTACGGTTATTATTTAAACACTTCACGAGAATACTTAGCCATATAACGACAGCGCCATAATTTTATTTTTACAGAAAATAACGCAATCAGCTATATAATATTTATAGTAATTTTTCTTCACCTTGCGTGAGTACTCCAATAGTGTCGTCGAAAGTCATCGCTTTGATATTCAGTGACGCTAAAATCGCCTCCTTGTCAGCCAATGTCGGGTCATCGTTGCTAGGAACTTTTGCTGACAGTATAACGCACATGTCACACAGATTTACGTTGACCGCTCGTAAGTCGGCTCGACTCAGTGGTGATCCCTGAAAACCACAATGATTTCGCGATAATATTAAATCCATCACCCGGAAAACCGCACGGAAAACATATAATATTGTATCACACGTCGATAACAGTTATAATAACAACAGGTATGCGATCGTTTCGTAGTTCAAACAATATGACACGTACGTTGAGTACAGAGATTTTTGGTAAATTTTGCAACATCTTCCACTCGCGGCGGATGTAGTCCACAGCGCCAACGATCACCACGTGTTTGAGCTCGTGATAATGGAAATTGGACGCTCGCAAAGGCATCACCAAATTCCTCAATCCGATTAACGGTGAATCCGGATCGGCGAACAAGCACACCACTACGTGACCGTTCAGTACAGTCATGGCAGCTTGATTTCTGTCCTGAAAATCGAAATCTCCATTTAACACAAGTGTGAACGTACACACGCGCGCGCGCGTGGAAAGCCATGGGTTTAAACAGGGACTGAGACCGGACCGAAAAGAACTGTTTACGAAACCTATGACCTTGTGTAAATTAAAGAACTGAAAATAACTTTAACATTTATTTTACATTTTTAAAAGACCCTTACCAAAACCGAAACTCTTATAAAAAAAAAAAAAATAAATATAAAAATATTGATTTTTTAGGATTTATTCGGTTTTCAAATAGTTAAGTTTCTATAAATTACTGTATAGAAACTAAACAGTAATATTTAAACATTTGAACTAAATATATGTTGTTTAGAAACAAAAATTATATTTTATATAATATTATAACGTAGTAATTACGTAATATTATTTTCGGCCGCGTCGTCCATAAGTCGGAGACCATAACAGTAGAGATAGGCAAAAAGTTTAAAACATTGATGTTCCAATGTATCGATGTATCTGCATTTAAAAAATCGATGTTGGTGATCGATATTTTCGACAAAAACATCGACATTTACCTTAATAAGTTTTAAGAAAAATTGTATGTTTGTTATATACATATACCTATGTTATGTATAAATTGTAAAATGTTTAAATGAATACGTTATTTAAACATCGAACTTCGGATTAGAAAAAAAATCGATTTTTTTTTTTAATTCATCGCAATAAAAACATTGATGTAGGATTTCGATATATCGAACGAAAACATCGATGTTTTTAAAAGATCGATGTATTTTGCCCATCTCTACTTAACAGCCTACGAGGATGGTCAACGATCGACAACAATAATATGAATTACATGAACGTAAAAACCTATGGATATTATTATTATTACATTAATATTATTATTAATATTGTAATAATGTATGTTACATAATAACGTCGATAATGGAAGGGGTATCTAATTTCTAATCTTGATACCTAATTTGAGTTCTACATTACAATCTTAAGCTGTACTCTCACGAAAAAATATAAACAGTGAGTTATGCCCTTCGTATGGGGTTCAATCTTTAACAGTAGCTACCTAAATTAGTCTAACATGTACTGTATACATATATTAACATTTTTTGTTTGAAAAAAAGAATACACCAAAATAAAGAAAACGGTTTAAACCTAAACCCCTAAAAAAAATATTTTTAAGACCCGAACCTTAATCGGAACCGTTAAAATCGTTAATGTCTCAGCCCCTAGTTTTAAACGGTACAATTTAATATACAATCGTAATGCGACAAGATTCGGCGGGGATGGTTTTTTTTTTATATTTACTTGCAAGTATAGTACACCTGTACCTATACAGGTGGTTTACTTACTAGGATACATTCTTCGAGGCTTTTAGCTGAACTCCAATGGAACATGCCAGTGGAGTCGTATTTCATTTCAGTCTTTTCAAAATCAAAGTCTTTCGCCTGGTCGTCGGCAATGCCTATTTGAATACCGTTGTTGTTCATGTTAGTCCCAGCAGATCCGCCCCGGGTCGTCGGCCTTCAGTTCACATAGAAATGATAAAACATTGATATTAATATTATTTAATCCTGAATTTTAAGGTGTTTGTAATAAAAAGCGAACATAACAATAATTTTGAGACTGCATATAGTATATTAATATTTTCAATGATTAGCAGAAACAAAAAAAATAAATAAATAAGTAAATAAAAATAAATACAATAACTATTTTGACAAAATCATAATCATACTAAACGAAACAAGCAACACTAAAAAATAAATATTTTCTATATTTCTTGAATATATATTTTTTGCTAAATAATATATAATTAGTTTATAATTTATCGTATTTACTGTATGTTGTTAACTTGAGTATTAAATTCGTGGTATATTATTTGGGAAATTAATTGTTAAGAACTTGAATCATTTTAAGAAAATCATCTAAAATCATAATCGAATTTAATACAGTAATAAAAGATTATAAAAGAAATAATATAAATGTATAGGAAAAATGGTTCGTTTACTTAGAATTGTAATTGCACGTATAATAATAAGAGCACAGCAATAATAACTTTTTTATGGCTGTTCTTTATTTACTGTTGTAAAACGTACATAATAAGATAAATGAGTCCAATAAAACCAATTTTAAGTGTGTAAAAATTGTAAATAAATTAAAACAAATTCAACAATCGTTATTACTAGAAGAGGCCGAATTTCTTAAAAAAATTATAAGCCAAACTATAAACGGTGAATGTAAAACTAAAGATAACTAAAAATGAATACAAAGCATTGGTCTGCAAGCAATATAAATAGATAGTAAACGATAACAAATAGCACATAGAGACAAGCAGGACAAGATCGATGGAATAGTTTACAAATATTAATTATTAAGTAGAAAGCGTACAATAATTTTTTAACTTCGTATGCGAGTTGATAGCCGGCGTAGCTTCCTTCTTCTTGTTGAGCTCTGCAATATATTCAAGACGACCACGATCAAATATGATATTTACACAAAAAAAAAAAAAAACTTCGAAAAGATAGAAATAAACGTATATGCGTGGGTGTATTATAGAGTTTGGATTCATGTGAGAAGTTAATGCAATAGAATATGTTAAGAATTCATTAGTGTGAAAAACGAAAACGAAAAACAAAATACGATATAACTGTAAAGAACGAATAAAAAGGCTGAAGTATCATCCGTTCGTAGATTTGTTATGAGTAAAATACGAATATCTCAATATGAACATGTTCGCATGACCTACCGGTTGTAGTTTTGGTTGGGCGACCCTTTGTCCGCCGGACGGTTGATCGGCTTTACTTTGTTCACTTGCTTCGGCGCTGACATGATTGAATTGGGCATTGTCTGTGCGTTTTTGTTGCCCAACACTGAAAATATAAAATTAACATAGTAATGCGTAAACTTTCAAACGTTTTTTGCTGGTCCCCCCCTCTAACTCATCAATATCCTTTTTTTATACATTACCACATCTCACACTTTTTCCTCATTCTGAACTTAACTAGCACTTGTTATCCTCTTACCTCTGAATTAAATGTTACGTAACAAATAACGTTTCCAAACATCGAAACTCTCTTTCTTTCTCTTTATCGAATACAAACACACACACACACACACACACCTATTGCAAATATTATGGATTATTTTTAGACTAAAACTGTCCAAACTTGAGCGGGTAATTTATCTCCCTGCTTAATCTTCCTCTTCATATCCTCCCTTTGCTCTCAGTGCCACCGGAACATTACTTGCCGTAGGTTAATCTCATATACCACACAAAGCCTCCTTCTACCACACAACGACAACATTTTTGTCCACACAAAGTTCAAATTTGGCTTATTTTTTGCTCTTTTATACAAGAATGTATCTCTCGAGCCACCGCACATGCTTTCCCTTTATTTACGTAGTAATATACGACATACGATTGTCCACTGACGTCCTCAACCGATCTCCTACTTCTAATATTAATAGTGTATAGTTCTATCCCTGCAGTCTCACTAATGCACTTTGCCGGGTCCTTTAAAAGTAGAATGCTATATTATACAAGAGCTTGTGAAATTCGTCCCAGATAGCGGGGTTATTATTGAGATTAACGGTCACACGCCCCTCCGTTTAAATCTCTAGCGAAAATCGACGAAAGGTTATAGGGTACGTGTGCGGACGTAAGGAGTGTGGTGGATCGATAACAGCCGACCGAAACCATGTATACAATGTACCACCGAAAAACAAAATGCTTCTACGCGATGAGAAATTGAAAACGTACAATCATCATAACGATAAAGATTTTTAATGCGCTAAACAATTCGCGCGGTGAATGTACAGTGATCGCATAAAAAATGACGACTCAAACGGTCGTGTTAATTACTTTGAATTGCAACCCAGTTCGGAAAATTTAACTATTTCATACAGAAACATTAATTATTATAATAATGTTTAAATAGTGATTGTTAAAATGTCCGTAAAAATTACTGTAAATATATATTATTACATTAACACCTACTTGTGCGCACCAAACGCGTAAGTCACTGGTGATTGACAGAGAATCCAACTCCGTCGATAACGAAATATAATAATTATTATTATCATTAAAATAATTGGGGTTTGAATAGTGGGACCCGAAATCAATATCGAAATTGTACCGAATAATAAATGATACCAATGCACCGCGATGTGCGGGAAAACGTGAATCCAGAACGAATTAATACATTTTACGCAAGTACAGTAATTTTTAAAACGATAATTTATTTGGGCAACCCAAAAAGATAATTTTATTACGGTTAATGATGTGCGCGTGCTCAATTTACGGTGCAGATTAATTTGTAACGCCCTATTCTTATATATAAACATATAGTTAATCGCGGTGTAACGCTATCTATGCAGAGAATCGGATCAATTCGACTGCAAGATTTTAGGCACAAAATTGTCGACGGTCACGCCATTCTGCATGGAAACACGCACGTTTCAATAACCAGTATCAAGGTAATCTCCCACAAAATTCAAGAAATTTCAAATCAAAAACGTTGATTTGAAACACGGCTGTACTGGTATTACCGTTCAGTTTTATTTTTAGATTACCAAAACTTGTGGGTATCCAGTTCAGCTATTAGTTATGTACCATATAATATTTCGTTGCATTATCAATACCTTCAACGTTCTTAGTCGCATTGTAACATTATTATATACACGTGTATTCCATGTAGAAATCATCAACGACGACTACTGCGATTGTTTACTTTTAAAAACACGGCAAAGAGCATTGCTTATATATTATACAAAAAAAAAAAAAAAATAATGTAATATGTACTGTATCGACTTACGTGTTATTTCCTTTTCTTTTCCGACGTCACCTGAGAAAATGTTAAAAAAATACAAAGACTGTTAAAAAAGCGTTAATATAAAGTAAGAATTGAAATAGACGTCAAATACACAAAATAAAAAAACACTTCAAAACAATAAAATTAAATTACAAACAAATATCACGAAGCGATTATATTAACAAAACCCAATAACGTATATTATATTGATGCTAATACATTTAAGGCTAGCGCACATCAAGCAACAATTTATTATTAAATAGTTTGGCTTTGAAAACGAACGTTCTCAAGATAAAATAAAATCGTAAACAATAAAATAGCGAGTGTGTGTATAAATATATATGTATATATATATATAAATATTTCTATATGATGTTTAATATAATACACACCATATAATAAATGTATATATACATATATATGAATATAATTATCTACTAAAAAAATCAAAACAAAAAATTATGAAAAATAAAATTCAAACAAAAAATCAAACAAACGAGAAGGTATGTTGTGTATCTTACATTTTATACGGATAGGTCATTGATTTGAGATATTAAAATTTGTGAATTCGAAAATATAATAATGATATAAATAAAAAATATGTTTATCGTGAAAATCGCAGAAAATCTTATTTTAGTGTTGCATAATGAGAGATTGTATAATATAATGTATATATACATATGTCATATATATAAATATATTTATGTATAATATGCATATATACATAAATATACATATATATAATATGTGCTCATATTTTTTTCTTGTGATCACAACGTGTAGGGATGAACATGTAACAAAGAAATTGAAGGAAGGAATCATCAAGAGTGCCACGTCGAAGACACAATGCACTTAAGACAATATAAAGGCAAAAGCAACAGCAGTTTGTTTTGTTTTTATTGTTGTACCTCTGATATTATGTACTCTCTTTGGAAGAGTTGGTGGAGTTTCCGTGGGGGGAGGATGATCGTCTGAAAGAACATACATTCCAAAATTCACTCACCACATTATTTTTTTAAGATCATTATATTAAATTATGAATCTCATCACTTTTTCCCAACAAATAAACACAAACAATCATGTAATTTTCAACACAACTTACAAAAATCACCTAGCTAAAGTACCTAATGAATTATTTTTTAGATTCTTTATCGAATATTTGTTTACTTTTTTAATTTTTGTTTCAATTCAAAAAAATGTATACGCATTGTTAAATTTAAGTTAAACAAAATTTTCTAAAAATTAAATTAAACAATTCAGACATGGAACGTTTTGAAATAGATTTGTATAAATATTTTCACACGAATAAACTTAATTTTTGCTGTCTAATGTCGACCACTAGGGACGGCGCGAGGGGAGGGAAATAGGGGCAGCTGCCCAGGGTCCCGCGTCTTAAATTATAAGAAGGCCCCGTGGTTCTGATTTAACTGAACTTAAAATATTTTATTAATAGAAATTATAAGACACAACATTTATTTTGCCCAGGGTTTCGCAAACTCTAGCACCGTCACTATCGACCACTTTTAATTTTGGGATGGAATCTACGTCATTAAACAAATTTAAGATGTTAAAACTGGTAATTTAGCTATACACAATAAATAAATAATTTAAACACGAAATCGAAATGATGATCTATAAATCAAGAAATCAAAAAAAAATACTCGACTTTATCGAACTCTAGATTTATAAAATAAAAAAAATGACGCATAATTCGCAAGACAAATGTAACAGCCATGGCGTGAACGTAATAAGTCACAACTGATAACGTTTGTCTTTATTTTCGACGTGGAATCTTTTTTTTTTAAAAAAAAACCGTAATTTGTCTTGAACGAAATCACTATCACCTGCGGTTAAGGGGTTGCTAAGACAATGATTCAATCTTCGATAAAGAATCGTCGTTTCCCGAGCGCGTTGTCGTCGTATCGAGGAAGCCAGACAACGTGCGGCATTCAACGTGCGACACCCACGCGAAATAAAACATCTACTTTACGATTTCTTCCGTTTTCAACATTGTGCTCATGTTTCAAACTTACTTCAAACTGTTAAAAAAATGTATGTATGTATGTATATACATTTAGAAAGAACAACCAGTACTCGAAAAGACCATGCAACTCTAGTTATTTTTATGAAATTATATTAATAATATGCGTGCATCTCTCTGCAAACACACCAAAAAAAAAAAAAATAAATAAATAAACAACAAAAATAATAGTAATAATAAAAAAAAATCCAAGAAATAAAAATAAAAATAAATAAATCCATATGCCGATCGCACGAATATTATCGCCGAATAACAATGCGATTCGTCGACCGACACGTAATATGGTCTATAACACCAATTCGAGATGCACGGCTGTAACACACCGTATAAGTGGCTGGATTTTAAAAACTTTAACAAAACCGCGTAGCGCCGGGGTCCATCAGCGAGGTGAACACATTGGTCCCCGTCGACCCAACAATATCACGTTTTCGCCGGGTACAACAAGATACGGTCCGAGTGGATAAATAGTCATTGAAAACACTGACCAGACATTATATACCAAGCCCGAGATTTTCTTAAAGGATATAGTTGCTATATACATGGACGATGCATACAATGGCCAGTACTGGCCGTGCTCGGTGATTAGAAACATTTTGATAAGCTTAATGTTATAATAATAAAAACATCGGGTTTTGATGAAAAATCTATAGGATTTTACGCGTATCATTTTGATTTATTAGAAATGGGTAGAAATGTAATTAAATAAAAAATCGAACTGAACACTGAAACGTTAAATAATTCAAATACTTTTTCGTTATGACGTATGTTGCCAAGATGGCCATTTGAAGCTATATCAAATCCTAATAGTTCTACATTTGTATTTTCTTATACCACATAGTTTGACACGAGTGGAGCGGTCTTAACCTTGCCCTCTTGAATTGGAAAAAAACCTGGCCACTTGCTTTACTACTTTTTCGTTTCGTAAGTGTTATAAATTATAAAACATACACAATGACTACGGGCCAATTTTCACATTGAATACAATGACCAGCCGTTGTGCACAATGACCACTGGGTAGTGTTTACAATAACCAGTATTTTAACTAGGACCGTATCATACACTATGGGTATCGATGTAACAGTAAACGAACAAAAACAGGCGCCAAGAACGAAGGATTACCGATTGTTTCCTTTTCTTTTTCCCCGATTATGCAGAACTGAAACGATCGCGTACTCAGAACGAGCTTCCAATGTTAAGTGCAACGACACAACGATGACCAATAATATTATAGTAATATATTACGATGACAGTGATAGATGGGGCTCGGATTTTAAAGTATTGAGAAGTACCGAATTATGCGTTGTATTAAATGTCCAGAACACATGAATTAACGAAGGAAAAAAAAATTGTTTGAAAATATTTTTAATCCTTTAATAATTAGCAAACGCTTTATGAAGACTAAGTGTCAATAATAAACGATACTATCGGCAACTTATATGAGTACTATTAAATAAGGGTAATAAGATCAATGTTTTAATATAAACATTATGTGTACTTTATGTACACGTATACATATACTACGTATGTGTAATTTATCGGTGAAATTAATGTAACCGAAATTCAAAAATTCCAAGAAAAAAAATTATCTACTTGAAATCATCTACACATAGAAGCTGTGTTAGCGTCGGAAATGACCGAATAATATATTTTCGTAATCGATCAATTATCTAATGATCGTTTAATAGTACAATATAATATCAGTGGCGTATTTACGGGGGGGGGGGGTCCAGGGGTACTGGACCCCCCAGAACCTCTCCAAAAAATAAAAAATTAACAACAATTCTTACATATTTGCAGAATTGGGTATGTTAAACATTCACAGGGAAGTTGAAATTACTGTTGATGAAGTGATAGAGGAGTTGGCCAAAAAATCGAGACAACTGGAATTTATTTTATAACAATACTTTATAATATATAATGCTAAATACAATATATAGGTATATATATATATAATATTACATAAGACTATACGATTATTACATTATATATTTAGTTCAACTTCCTCCAAAAACTGTATAAGGACGTAACTATTACAATATAATATATAGTTTATATTAATTATGTATAAACTGTGGACCCCCCCAGAAAAAATTGAAAATACGCCACTGTATAATATCATCATGGTATAGTACACGTTATTATTAAATAGGAACACACAAGAAGGATGGAAATTTATGACAAAGAAGCTTTCACATGTAATTATTATATTAGAAACACGTTTGTAAAGAAAATTTAATTCATTCGTTTAAAGAATATTTTATATTATGGTTAGTAATTATCATATGAGAATGATTTTAATGCTAGTTTATATCATTCAAGGTAAAAAAGTTTAAAGTTTAAAAAAAGAAATATTACTGGATATATATATATATATATATACCGGTCGACCAATAATAATAGGGAGAAATAATATTTATTTGTTTTACTTCGAATTTTTTTTTTTTTTTGTTAAACACCTAAATATTACTTGCATGCTAAACTTGTCTAATTTATATACACCTATGGTAGAAACTATATAAATAATTAATATAAGAGTAAATATTATAAAATGAGCCTAATATGAGAACATGCAACAGCCATATCCCTATACAAAACTACGATAATTGTAAAAAAAAAAAAGAAAAGGAAAATGATGATAAGTTTTTCATTTCAAAATGATATTCAACTACTCGTGTGAGTATAAATTTCAGCCTGATGCTTGTCATAACAACTAAAATTTATGCGTTATGTAATGTTTTTTTCTTAGAGGACAGACATCACAAGTACAACAACAAAAAATTGCTCATTTAGATGTACATTTTATGTGATCCTTATTTCATTATTAATATAGTTTTTTTTTTTTTTCCGTTTATACGAATATGACTTACAAGGTTGTGTTGTATAAGGGTTATTTTGGTATTTGGTTGTTTTAGGTAGAAAGCATAATAATATAAAGGGAAAAATAAAAACCACACAAAGTAAAACGTTCAACATCACAGAAAATACGAAAGAAAAATAAACCCACTGCCGATTAAAAACCAAGAGGAAAATACTTTTGTATTTATAAATTAGATATATATTAATATGTATACATTTACGTACCTATATATATATATGCATACATTTATGTACACATATATACGTGTACATTTATGTGCACATATACATATTATATATAAATAATAAATAATATTTGTTAACTATATAGAAAACCAGCTAAAAAAAAAATTAATCAAAAAGGCATCAATTCGTAGACAAACAAGAAATTTGATTTAAGGAGAATTTGAACGTACTTGCCCGTCCGACCATTTGTATAGCGCGAACACCTTTCCGGAATGTCGCCACTGTGTTAAAATTAGAAAAAAAAAACAAACAAAAATTGAAAACGTGAAAATTATTGTGTTAAATGGTCATTTATACTCTACTGAAAAATGATTTATTATTTTCACTCCAAAATACACATATAAATATGTTATGATTAAACTTTCTACAAAACCGGAAAACTTACGTTAATTAATAAATCAAATGGTATATAATTTAAATTTTAAATTTTTTAAAAAAATTAATATAAAATAATGTAATTTAGTTTTAACTTCCAATGACATTTGTACAAAACACCACACACAAATTATACTCGCGAACAAGGGCCGGAGGTTGATGACATTGACTTAATTATAACGTCCTATCTTGGCTAAGTTTTTATAAAAATATATCATTATCTTATTTAAATAACTTTAAATAAATCTTACTAGTATGAAAAATTATTGAATATTGACATTTAAACAGATTAGTCAAAATGTATTTAGTAAATGTATTATTCCTACTCGACCTATCTACCCAATAAGATACAAATGTATAATGTGTACGTACTGATGTTTTTATTTTATCCTAAATTAATTATATTAAACATGTTATATGATTTGTATTTTTAAATAGATATCGGAATAAAATGGAAATAATGATATTTAAAATATTACTGTAACATATTATTTGTATAATTTAATCACGTATTTGCATTACACTAACTACGCGAATTGACTACGAATTATACTGTAATAATCTAAAATGCTATTAGAATATTGTCCATTATTTAAAATATTACTAAAACATTTTATGAAAGCATTTTTTCGGTTTTATTAATGAACTAAAAATAAAAATGATGCAAAGCAAATATTATGTGTATAACGCTTCAAGGGGCAATTTAAACATACGTAAATAATATTTGTATGAATATGTAGGTATATGATGTCAATTCACATATAATATAAAAACGGCCGTAATTGTTTGTATCAATATTATCAACACCCGGTCCTTATATTATTATATTATCTACTACTATTCATATTATTACCCGTTAAAATTGGATAAAATAATTTTCAAATTGTCTTGAAATTCGAACGGTATATAAAAAAAAATTGTATTAAAATAATTTACGAACGATACACTATGTAATGTTTGGTTAGATGTTAAATATTCAATATTGTTATTAACCAGGTATTTGTGGACTTATTCAGACAAGCAGACTTTAAACACAAACACATATAACTTCTTATACATCTATTGTTTTTAAACTTTATAAGTACCCTCGAAATTATAATTATGTGCCAACATTCCAGTCTCCATCATAATCATACCGACATCTGTAACATGGCGTCTCTTTCTATAGTACTCGTACGTAAAAATAAATAGTTTCAAAAAATAATAAAATATTAATAACAACAACAACCGAAAATTCATTAATTTAGACACATTTAAAACGTTTTTGTATGTATAAATATATATATATATAATATACAAATAAAAAAATGATCATTATTGCTTTTTAATGTTGAATTGTCAATCGGAATTACAATTATATTTACAAATATATATATATTTATTTTATAAATTACATCTTATCGTTTTTGTTTGAAAATAATAATAACATGTATAAAAATGTAAACAAAAAACTATTACAGGTAGTGTAGTAGTCCTGTTGTTACATTACATGCAGCATATATTATTACATAGCTGTGTAATGGAAGAAAAATAAAATCTCTACGATATGTAAAATAAATAATAATATAAATAATAATAACAATAATAAAAATTAATAAATAAAGCTGCTTAAGCTCGTAAAACTGTGATCATCGTGAGCGATATTCGGGCGGTGGAAATAATATATAATATGTATGTATATATCATATATTACCGATAGGTCTATACACATATACTATATACCTGTATGTATTATATACGAACTGTTTATTTAAAAATACTGTATACGAATTGTACATTTGAAAATATATGCATACACATTTTATTAAAGAAATAATAATGTGTGTGTGTATGCGTACGTGTATGTGTGCACGTTACGTACTACTCAGGAGTGCACATGGACAAAAAGGTATTTTGAACCGTACAATGTATTGAAAATCAATTTGATTCAATGTGCGCCTGAACTTGAACTTATAAAAATTATTAATAATAATTACAACAATAATAATCATGATTAATAGAAGAACGTGTTTTCAATTTTCGAATTTAATACACATACGTTATTCGTTCTGGTGCACAGTAAATCGGTCTACCACAGGGATGGGTGGGCTAAAAAAAATATTGGATATTTTTTTTACTCGCCGGGTTGCGTTAGTATATATATATATATATTTATATGTATAGGTATAACAATAACAATATCATGTTGTAAGAAAATGGTAAAATAAGTAGTACAGACACTTTATACTTATATAGATTTGTCGACCAGTGCATTTGAAGATTCACATACACAATAAGGTAGTAAAAGAAAACTATCGCGAATAATACTTACAATTTTTACACTTGCATTTCTTGATCAGCGTCTCATCTCTAATTTCTTCGTGGCACGCTTTACAGTAATACCAAGCCCTAAATTTACAGAAATGTTTAATGTTCGTTTAACAACGTATGACAAATTCAAATTGTAAACATCACACTGTTCCTCGTTTTTAATCCTACATTATCGTCGTCAATCGTATTACACTGTACGTACGAACGAATACATCATTTACGTATGAGTCTATCCTTCAGATATCGTCATGCTCGAATATACACATATTCTCGCGAACATTGACAAGTATATTTTCTCTAATGGTACAAAATTTAAAATTGCGTTTCAAGATTTTATGAAAATGGCTTTCGTATGATATTTTGAAGTACTATGTGTTATACGATGTACTTTTAGTACAGTTGATCCTTAAAATGTGACACTGTATAATTATCTTATTTTGCGATTTTTATAAGTCGTCAATTGTTATCGACTTGCGATATAGAATTAAGTATATGTTAGTCCTTAACAACTAAAAAAAATTAAATTATAATTATAATTTTTTTTTTCAACTTTTCAATTAAAGTGAACAATACTTGTTTCTGAACTTCTCATTATTTTTATACTCAATTGGGTATTCCAGTTACCGCTAACGTAATAAAATATAATACTTATTACTGGAACTTTGGTATACAATTTATACCTACATTTAAATATTGTTTGACTATTAAAATATATCTTTGTTGTACCATAATATTGATACGAAATTGATTATGAAACAGTTTTAACAAAAATAAATAAAAATAAAATAAAATTTAATCAAAGTGCAACGATCCGTTAACATTTAGGTTGTACAAACCTTTTGACTTCGTCAGCAGACTGAGCAATGAAGAACCCCTGGGTACTGGCCTGTATCTTAGAACCCCTGGGATTTATCGATATCTTGCTGTCTCTTCCATCCTCTCCTTTTATCTCGATGGCCAACAACAGCAGCTTAAGTTTTGTGAAGCACAACCTATACGTTAAAATACGAACGAGCATTAGACAGACTCTTCGGATATTGACTATGTGTAAAGTAATTATTTTTTTGTCGGAATATGTGTCGGCTGTTGAAAAAACTTATCATGCAAAATAAAAAAAAATTAAAAAATATTATTCACACCAAATCGCAAACTCGTCATTCATGCCGCATGCAATCTATAGGCGTGAGTATAAAAACTACAGCGAACTAGAAGAAGCCATTTTTATATGCCAACTATTAATATTTTCATCATGGGGTTCTTGACCGATTCCCATTTAATTTAATTTAGATATATATATATATATATATATATATATAATAGTACGAGTATAATAATATTAATCCATCAAGATGTTATTTTTTTTCTATCATACTGGGTTGTGTCTAGCTGTTAACCGTATAATCCGCCTCTTAGGGTATGCTATTTCAATTATTTGTGAGACTCGTGGTTTATATTTATACATATATATATATATTTATGTAATATAAGATATAAATATATAAGTATAAATAAATAAAATATCGTCGTAAGATTTTATGAGGTAATCAGCTAACCCGTACTAAACTATGTATTATTATGTTAGTGTTATGGATATTGAGAAACGAAAAAATAAAATAAAACTAGGGTCAACGAATTTTACAATGTGTATTTATATATACATATATGTTTGTTGTGAGATGTATTGATTACATGAAATTACAAAACGAACGTTATTATTTAATATTTATGTAGTAGCGTGTGGATCATGATTCAATGGAATTGTAATGACGGTGTGTGATTATCGAGGAAATGCATGTAGTATTATTTATTTATTTATTAATTTTATTTTTTTTTAATGAATACCTGAAACATAGATTATCATTGTTCTAAACGTTTTGGACGAACTGATTATCCGATACTAGAAAAGCCTTGAATCTTGTAAAAAAATGAATTGCCTACGACCAGATTTGATGAAATTAAATAACACTGTACTACGCGAAATCATTAAATTATTAACATTAAAAATGTAACTTTGAATATAATATTGATTATTAAACTAAATATTAGGCTAAATAACTGTATATGATATATTAATACAAACATATGTATCACACAGTGTCGATATTTTCGCGATAAATTATTTTACGTGGACGTAATAATAACAATAATATTATTTTTTCTATAATTCTACCATTTTACAGTACATTATACTTTATCAGCTATATTTTCACATGCAAATACCGTTATTTGTAATCGCGTACATGTGGTATGCATATGTGTCCATATATAATAATATGGTACATAAAGTTTCATCAACATGATACGTATATGGTAAATAGTTACATAATATACTGCCTATTATATAATAAGAAAATCGAACAAGACTACTTGACAGCAGTACTACCCACATGCTTGTACACAGTTTTCGAGGAATGAGGAAAAAAAATTAAAAAAATAAATAAATAAAAAAAAGTAGAAATATACTCTAGGCATTCTGTGTCCAAGTAAATTACATATATTTACATAATATTATTAACAGATTTTCACCACACGCTACTGACAAAATCGGACGCGGTACCTATATACTAGCGGCTCCACATAGAACAATGTATGCGAATGGCACGTGAAATCGATTCAAGAAATAATACTAGTACCTAATTGCGTGTTATAGAAATACACACGGAGGTAGCGAGTGAGCATCAATTAATCTGAAGATTTTTTATGTCTAATGATTTGTTATCGGTGTGACCGAAATAGGTTGTATCGACTTAATTTTGTATCCTCTCAACAATTTACAAGACAAAAATTGTTTCTAGACTACACAGAAGTAGTATTGATGATAATCGAATCTCGGAATTGGATCAGAAATTATAAATTAAATGTGTTCGATTAACATTGCATTTGTAATAATTCCGTTCAAGTACATACGATGTGCTTCACGAAAGTAAAAAAACAGTCAGAAGTCTATTCCTGTATACACGTCAAAGGGATTGCGCAGAGCCATTTGAGACACAATGAACATTCTCACATATAATCTCCTATGACTAGGACCGTGTTAAGGTGGAGTCAAAGGGGGCAATTACCGTAGTTTTGTAAAAGTAAGGGGACGCCCTTATCTGCACTTAATATGCTTTCTGTGCCCGATGGTCTCGAAGAAAAATGTTTGACACGGCTCTGCCTGGGGTTATGCGTGTGGATAAATTTTTAAGAAAAATGTATCAAATGTGGGTAAGGGGATGGTTGGTGCAGAAACAGCGGCAATTATCCAGAATTGTTTCAGCCAAAGGCTTGTCATAATAACGGTATACAATTAAAAATCTGCTACCAAATCGCTTTATGAATATCAAACATGAACATCTGATTTCGGAATATTTAAGTCGTCACGAAACCCGATTTGTCCCTGTGATCATTATTTTTACCTCACGTAACGTACGTTTCTCGGTCCTACAGAACAGTACGTCTAACCGCGTCTTCGCGACTTCTCGCTCGGTTTCGCTTCTAATTTTTCGCGCGCGTTTTCGACGAACCAAAATCGAAAATCGAAATTGTGTTTCGCACTCAGCTAACTCCACATAATTTGCAGCACAGTTTAATACAGACTAATATGGTATTGGTAATGATATACGGAAATACGCGAGCACTAATCGTACGCACGGGAATAGCGCGAAATAGTCGTTTAAAATATTGAAGAAGTCGGCGATAATATCGCATTTTTTTCCGCTGCTGTTATAGACGGCGAACGGCTAACGGGACGATCGGTGCACACAGAAAAACCGCGAAAGTCCGTCTTGAAAATTTAAACGAGAACAATGCAAGTAGAAATAATTCATCTGGCTATCCCTCGTTCGTAATACAAGCGTTAGACGCGCACCGGTGCCGCCGACGAATAATATGCAAAACGAAACGTATGTTTGGAAATTAAACAAGCCACACAGCACTACTCCGCTGCAAGCTATCACGTCGTTTCAATCCAATCGAATATTTATGCGTATGCAGATCGATAAACAAGTATTTTATTTTAATTTATTTTTTTTTTTTCAAAGCATACTCTCTTTATGTACTAGCTTTCAAAGTTATATTTTCTCTCAACTTGTCGAGAAAATGGATTTTTGCTCAAAATATTCGATTAAAGATGTCTCATCGGTTTTACAGTTTTACCAATAGATAAATGATTAGGTAGGATTCGATCGTTCGTTATTAAATTTACGAATTACAATGTCATAGAATATTTTACACACATTTTCTCCATAAAAAAATTAATGCTGAAAGTAATGTCAATGAAATTCACTGTCAATTGATCACTTATTGTTTTTTTAAAAAAAAAACATGTACTACATTATACATATATATAAATACGCTAGTATGTCAATAATATTATCGACCTATGGTATAACAATTTGGAACCGCATCGAACCAATACCGCGTCCAATATTATAAAACTATATCATAGTAACTAACCTACTAAAAAATCAAAAAATTAATAAATACTATAAAAAAAAAAGTTAAAAAATATCTGTTATAATAAACGTTTATATGATAGTAATATATTATAATAAATACATATATAATTAAACATATTTATATATGTATGTACTGTTATGTTTAGAAAAAATAAAAATGAATAAAATAGCTCCGGAAATCTAATAGTAGTTATACACTACCTATATAATGTTATTTAATAAAATTATAAATTGGACAACGGAAATTTGTGTGTTCGAGTGGGAAATGTGGGAAATATGTTTATATATGTGTGTATGTGTGTGTGTGTGTGTGTGTGTGCGTGGGCATGTGTGTATGTGTATGTGTGTGTGTGGGCATGTGCGGATGTAAGGGACTTACTCGCTGGCCTGCGGGAACGTCATGCCGGTGAAAGACGGGGACAGGGTCTCCGTATACATCTCGCAGCCGGTGCCCTGCAGATAGTCGTTCTGCCACGCTTGCGTATCCGGAGACTGAAATACACCAAACTCCACACTCTTCACAGGAACTATACACGGTATCAAACGCTCTATCACATCTCTACTCTACATCACATTCATCGGGTCGCAGACCGAAAATAAAAAAAAATGATAAAAAAAAAAACAAACAAACAAAATAAAAATCGTAGGTAAAAAAAAAAAAAAAAAAAAAAAAAAAAAAAAGAAAAAAAAAAAAAAAAAAAAAAAAAAAAAAAG